CCTTAGTCTTAATGTGAAGAAAACTTAGCAATTATTGAAATATTTAAAATATTCCATTATTGCTACTCAATACAAGATCACACGTCTAGATCATCAACCTGATGTAAGAATAAAATCGTGTTAATGGACATTCTGTGGATAGAGTCAGAACCCACAGATACCTAGGGGTCGAAATTGATGATACTTTAACATGGCACTCTCAATTTGATCAGATTGTTAAAAAAGTATCAGCCGGCCTGGCAATTCTAAAGCGGGCCAGGGCCGAAGTACTGCGTAATACCTTAATTCACATGTATGTACAATGCCCCTAGTTGTTCCATTTTTCGACTATTGTAGCCCAGCAAGGGGTTTGTATCGGAAAATGCCAATCTGAGAGACTCCAAAAGCTGCAAAATAAGGCTGCTCGAATAATAACCAGTTCTGATTATACAATGATGTCGCCATCTGCTATTTTATTGCATGACCTTTACTGGGATACACTTGAAGAAAGGTGTACTAAACAGCTAATAATTACTATGTATAAGGTGGTTCATGATCACTTTCCACCTTGGCCTCATAATCTTTTTCAAACAACATCACGAGTCCATACCTATAATTTGAGGGACTCGGCTCATAATCTCTTTACTTCCAGACCACTCTCTCTCAAACCAGAAAACGTAGCCTACACTAACAAGGTGCTACACTATGGAATAGCCTCTTAACTACTCGCAAAACCCAGACCACTGTTACTGCCTTCAAAGAATCCCTGCTGACATAGGAATTGCTTTTTGTTAAAAAAATTAACGATCTTTTTATTTTAGAATTTGATAGCTCTTGTTGTAGTATTATAATAGGTTATTATTACTATAGTAGGTTGTAGCATTAGTTTTTAGTTTTGGCATTGCTGTTGGTATATAGCATTGGAATATTACTATTAGCATAATCAGTAGAAATAGTGCTCGTTCTAGATTTCTTATGAATGATTATTTGTATATCTAAGTTACACACGGCTCGATGGAAGAGCATATTTTATATGAAATTGATACTGTGTATAAATAAAGCTTATGTATGTATGTATGTATGTATGCATGCATGCATGCATGCATGCATGCATGCATGTATGTATGTATGTATGTATGTATGTATGTATGTATGTATGTACTGTAGGTAATTAAATTGTTCTTCAATCAATCGATCGACTCATGTTAAACATTGAGTTGGTTCCATATTCGCGAAGATAGGTAAACAAGTTCCCTTCAAGCGAATGTTCGCAATAAATCAAAAAATATTTTTGATTGTTTTGCATCTAATGGATACAAAGAAGATACAGTTTCCCGAAAAATTTTCAATCCTACCTTTTCCCAGGGTGCTGGATTTAAAGCAGCCAAGGAACATGCAAGATTACGCAAAGATTCGGCCGGTTTAGGTCCACTGACCGCCATTTTGTTTGTGAATAATCATCTGCCACCGTGAGAGGGTTCTGGGTACGAAAGTAGCTTCGTTACACAGTCGAGAAATCGTTAATTTTCCGAAGATGAACGATGGTGAGGACTTCGGTACCCACGTGCATTCCCGACGTAGATTTCCCGGAAATGGAGTGGTAGCAAGCAATAAACAACAGATTACTGGGAATGTGAAAAAATATAACGCAGTCAACTGAAAGTCTGTTGTCGGCACTATCTCGAGGAACAGAAAACCATTTTAGTGGCTGTCGTACCTCACGGTTCTTCTCAGTCGTTTCCAAGTTTTCGCCTTCTTAACAGACGTGTTTCCATGGCTGATCGTAAACAACAAAGTAAGACAGTTTTATTATGTTGTTCTCCATATTATCAACGGTTGCGGATTGATAAATGTGAAACTGATGTCGATTGATATATGAATTCCATGACTTTTAGCATTTCCTTGCCAAAATTTAAGACCTACTTTCGCGCGTTCGACCGTTGGCATTTGAGCGCAAATATTTAGAGTACACAAGTTTACCAGCGCGCGAGTACAGTCCAAAGGTAATTCAACCATGTCAGAAGAATCTGTCTCGTGATCTGCTTGAAGCCAAAATGTGCCTTATCCTACACAACAGTTCCCATTAACGGTTGGTGTAATTAATTCGTCCTAAATCACAATTCAAGTCCATAAATCGCTTACTTTCGAAGGCTTGTTTATTGATGTATTCGAGTCACAAGTACGTTTGTTTATGCAGGTTCTACAGACTATAAATAGCACGACCCCATGTAAATCTCAATGCCACTTAAAAGTCATGGTTTTCAATAGCAATTGATCGTTTCCACTGTTACGCATCGAGAGAAAGAAATTCCGGCCTTGAATGTTGATTTGCTTTGAAAAAACAGGAACTCAGGAGGCGANGTCGGCAAAAAGATCCTCCCTGGGAAATTTGGGTAAACGTGAATGCATGGGAATGTATTTTAATGCTACTTAAGAGTTCTTCGGCCCTTTCCCTTCATGGAATATCATTACCACTGTTATTTTTCTTTCGCAAAAACAGGCAGAGATGAGGTATTCAAAACAGGCAAACCAGACGATAAGGAACTTCTTAGCCTTGCTCAAGAAGTCGTGTCAATCTGGAGACAACTTGGTCTGGCGTTAGGCCTAACAGATGCGAGTTTGGATGAAATCCATGAAGACAATCCCAAAGCGTTGGATAAAGCATATGCCATGCTAAGGAAATGGAAGGAGTCACTTGGATCTGGGGCGAGTTATCAAAAATTAGCCGAGGGACTAGATCACAAGGTTATTAAAAGGCAAGACTCGATAGAGAGATACTGCCATATCAAAGGTGAGTAACTCAAACCAAGGGAGCAATCATTTTTTTTTTTTTTTTTAGTCTTTCTTGTTCGCCAATGTGAAACCAACGTTAACATAACGTGTATCAAGCTCGATTACCAGCCGCTGGTCATAAAAAGAGCTTGTCCTCTGCGGATCTGGGGAGAGGGCAAAAATCGTGCCAAATTTGCGCGTAAACGTTTTAAGAAAAGCATAACAAACACTGGGTGCCACTCCTCAAAAGAAAAAAAGAATAACCAAAAGCGCGATATTTGGAGAGGGAAGAGGCTTACGTCGAGATTCCGTATTCATTTCGCTAGTAGCCGCGGAAAGTTCTATGAGAATAAAGAATCTCTCCCAGACCCCAGAAAACAGCATAATGACTTGGCCAGGACTCGATCGAAATTATGGTGTTTCACGTATAAGTATCCACGCGGTTGCTTGTTAGCCTCGTTTTTATGTAGCACGTTCAAGTCGAGATATTGAGGAAAAATAAGTTTCTGTTAAGTTTTTCACATCATTAAGACTTAATTCGACGCTATACGTTAGAAAAATCCTGATAGAACTCAAACCTTTTGATTGGGAGTCCAGCTCGATAAGCTTACTTTCATAACATAGTACTTGGTTAAAGTATATTCCTTCACTTTACAATAATCTCTGCATAGTCCCAGACATAGCCCCAGAAGCAATCGCCAGACTTGCGTTAGCACCCAAGGATGATGACGGTCTTCAAGAAGGCAAATGTATTTGCTAGGCCTTCGTACATGTGCAAGAGGTCTACGGCAATTAAGAGGACATGTTATGGGGTATTAACGGGCCTTTACACGCTATCATCAGTATAAACATTCTCCATGCTATTTCCTTTACAATTCGTTTCGTGCTGACAAGGAGAATTTAGTTAAGAATCAAAGCTTCTTAGATAGGTATTCCTTGATCTCAATGAATAATTCAGAACAGTAATACTGTAGGTAGGAAGGAGAGGCTGGTCACTGTAAGGGTTTAAAAAGTTATCGATTATCACCTACCTTTTTTTCTTTTTTTCTTTAGCTGAAGCTTCAATCCCGAGAAAAGTTCTTACTACCGTGGAGATTCTTCCTGGTAAACCATTTCACGTGACTCGCAGACGAGGAAGAGAAATACAAAAGGTCAGCGAATGTTTTGTCGACTTGAGACGGGACGTTCCAACCTCCACAGTCATTGGCTTATACATTAAAGGTCCCCCCGGTTGTGGCAAAACCCAACTAGCAAGGCAGGTTGGAGAAGAGTTTGAACAGAACACTGCACCGCGGGGTCATTTCCAAAATGTGCCGTGTGTTGTCGCTACGTTGCAAGCACAATCTCCTGAGGCAATGTTAGAATCCTATAAAAAACTACACGAGAAGTTAGAAATCCCTAACGCACATGAATGTCAGGGAAGTGTCCGCGAGCGGATCAAGAGTTACATGGAGGATGTTAAGAATTACCTTCGTAGGACATCATCAGTTTGGCTTTTGATCGTCGATAATCTAACAATCAATGATCCAATGAGAGAATTCTGGCCTTCTCCGGGACAGGAAAGCCCATGGGGGGAGGGAACAGTCTTGGTCACGACTCAGGATAGTGAACTCGTCCCCAGATCCCACGTGCATGCCAAGAGTATGCCGCTTGATTCAGGAATGGAAGAGGAAGACGCTATGGAATTGTTAAGAGTCATATCAGGAATGGATGTGGATGAAGATGCTAAAAAAGTCGCTAGTTTTCTTGGATATTTCCCACTGTCTCTAGCTTGCGCAGCAGTTTATGTTGGGCAAATGAGAGAAGATCGCCCGTTATCAAAGTTTTCTTGGAAAAATTATCTGTCGAACCTCCAAAAGTACTACGCGTATCTTGATCATTCTGACTTCACACATCACAATCCATGTTATCCCAAAACAATGCTAGCAGCAGCAGAGTTCGCAGCCAGACGGATGGCCGAAAACAACAAAGTTCTCCGAGCTGCCTTCGTGTTCCTTTCGTACTGCTCCCTACAACCTGTTCCGTTGGATACTGTCGCTGATTATGTCTTACGCGAAGCTAAAGCCAGGGTGCCAGATGACGTCAAGCTGAAAGTAGCAAGGTGTTCGTTGCTAGTATATCCGCAAACAGGAGAAAGGGGAATAGAAGTGGTCACACTTCATCAAGTGATGCGGATGGCGTTCTCTCAAATCAGGCGAAACCCAGACGAATCGGAAGGAAACGTTGATAAATGTGAAGNGGAATTGAATGGGGTACTTCAAGCCTTAAACGAAGCCTACAAACAAAAGAGGGGTCAGTTAAAAAAGGAAGATCTCGCTATAAGGATTCTGTTGTGTCCACACTTGAAAGAGTTTGTTGAAGGAGTGGAGGTGGTCCAGTGGCTTGAAGAAACTTTACTTGTACAGGCGTTGGTTCACCTCGCAGATGGTCTCGTGCACGTTGCTGGGGCAACAGACAATTACCGCGTGGCTTTACTTGAGCGCGCTTATAAGATCAACAAACAACTGGGTTGTACTGATATCGATGCATGCACGTTGCTTTGCGACTTGGGCTACACTTACCGTGAGGCGGGCTTACTCGATAAAGTGATTCCGATTCTTGACGAAGCCAATAAGCTCTGTGAGACTCAAACGGATCGCATATGGATGGAAAAGAGATCTCGATTATTAAACATACTTGCTTTCACGTTCCGTGAAAGTTTTCAGCTGGATTTAGCCAAAGAGTACATGAAGCTATGCGTTGAAGTGACTAGGAAGGCTTATGGGGACATTCACGTTCAGCTGGTTGAGAGATTATGCAACCTAGGAATCATTTTGCATGACAGATGGGAAAACGATGAAGCTATTGAAGTCATGAAGGAAGCCAGAGAAATCGTCCAATAGTGCGACTCGGCAGAGATGTTCATTCGTGGCCAGGTGTTGAATTACACGGCTAAAGTCCATCTGCGCTGGTATCTCGGTTTGCGTCACACGCATCCACACGTATGCAGCACCCAAATGCATTTGACAGAATCGGCCATGCTACACGAGCAAGCATTATAGATCTACCACGATCTTCACGGAGATAATCAGAAGTTTACCACCGGAGTTATGATGACATACGGAACGGCGAAACTACATTTGGGAGACATTGACGAAGCTTACGAGATGTGTCAGAAGGCTGTTGAGGTGTATAGAAACTCACAACACATTGCGTGGCCACGAGCGGGTACTTTCCTCGCAGATGTCTTACTCACTCGGGGGGAGTATCCACGTGCGAAGAAGTTTCTGGAAGAGCTTGTACAAGCTCATAAGGATTTGAACCTCGTAGTGAGCCCTGGTGCCTATCATCCAAGGGCTCTCTTGGGTGAGGCTTCTGTGCATGTTGGTGACGTGGAAGCTGGAGAGAAGATCATGGAAGAATGTCTACAAGAGTGGAAAAAGAAAGGAATTCATCCAGAACATTACTGGGTAGCTCGCACGCAAGCGTTTCTGCAAGGACTTAAGTCACGAGAGTCGCAGAAATGCGATGACCGAAGCTTCCATGAGTTGCCCGATAAACTAGATTGATGAAAGATTTAGAAAAGCCTGTGGAGTCGCTGGAATATTTGCTGTTTTGCAAACAGAGGGGCGAGCGCCGGCACAAATGAAACATCTTGTAAATTTGGAGGTACGCACCATGCCATGAATCCCCTCGCTTCGACGCAAATCGGTGGCGAGTTTGTCACGCGTCCACCGTCGATTATACGTCATTAGGGACTTTAAGCAGACCACGACGTCTACAGAAACGAGAACGTGGAAAAACAATAGATCTAATTGGCAGAACAATAGCCCAGCACGTGCGTTTTAGAACGTTGTACATTTCTTAGCCGTCCTTTGCAAAACAACAACGTGAAATCACCAAAATTTGCGTTGTCTGCGAAGCGAAACCGCGGCGGCAAATTATTTTAATTTACATTTGGAACTCAACGCTACTTTTATGCGTTATGTTGAGTTTGAAGTCTGGCGCCCTGAGACGGTAAACACATGAGGCCATTTTCGAAATTCTAACTAAAAGTAGAAACTCGTTTTTTAATCGACGTCTTCCGTGGCGTTGCCGTCCTGACTATTTAAAGTCCCTATTGTGTGCGACACAATTTGTACGATTGATTTGCTACTTCTCGAATCTAAAACGTATTTGACATGCTTTCTATTTTCTCGTTTAATGTAACCATTTCGTCGGTGAAAGAAACCTTATTAACTCTACTATTTGACCTAGCGAATGCTTTTGTGCTTGCTCGTACAGGCCTAGCTGTAGTTGGTGAAGAAAAGTTTTCATTTCTTGTGAAGCATCTTCGGAATAGCTATCAGTCAGCAGTTTCACGCGAGTTGCTTCGCATGTGAACAGTTCAGCCAATTAAATGGAGACACACACCGAAGGAGGATTTTTTGACTTATTGGTAGTTTTGCATTTTCGAAAATGACCGAAGCCTTGTGCTTTTTGACTAGCTCTGACTCTGTGAGTAATCATAACAGTCTGACCTGTTTTTCCGTGCGTGTGTGTGTGTGTTTGTGTGTGTGTGGGAAATTTTCCTATTGCCAATTATTGAATTTTCTGATGCCTGCAAGCAAGTATTTTTTGTCCACGACAAGTCAAAAGAGGATGCCATGTTACTTTCCTAGTCTCTTATTTAAGTCACTTTTAACATTAAGAGTATCGAATGGTCTTTGCGAGCACTTGCGAGCGTGCGAGCAGTGTGTTTATTTTTGCGAGCAAGAGCAGTTGTCAAAGTTTTCTTGCGATCAGCGAGCACTTTAGAAAATACAGATGGCGAGCAGCGAGCACTCTAGTAAAATACAGATGGCGAGCACTTCGAGTACTTCGTAAATTTTCCGCTAGCCGGAATCTCTCTTTTATTAGTAGGATACGTTGTTTAGCGCCAAGTAATAACTAATAATCTGGCTGACACCTACAAAACAGAACAAAAGTGCAAAGCTAGGGCGGCTCAACCATTCCCTGCATCTTACAGCCAATTGTGCACTGCTTGATGCCACATTACGTCACGTAGCTTCGCGTGAGTCAGTCAGGGTGGATGCGCAAGAACTTCAAGAGCTCTTAAGGAGATGTACTGGATCCAAAGCCCGCTTTCTAAAGTTTTCCATCTCTTTCTAAGCCGACGCTAAAATGGAAGATATATTTTGTTTGGTTATATAGTTCTTATGAAATCTAAATAACGTGATATTCGGTCTAACAAGCATTTTGTGCTTCGGTTTCGATGATCCACAAACTGGTTTCCCACTGATTGACTGAAAAAACTTCAACGCGATGAAACTTTATTTATTTGGAGGCTTCTAGAATCTAACCAATTACAGCCGTACAGACCTGACAAGCTCTATTAGTAGCTCTAATTGTCAAATAGTCTAGATTACTTTCTAACTTCGAGGGTGCCTTTCGAGAAGAATTCTTGCATTTTGTGTTTCCGCGCGACATATCTACAAACCCTGATAATTTACTCAAATAAAAAGTGGGAATTTAGATCATCAAAGGTTCGCAAGTAAAGTTGTCTCCGTAGGAGATTTTGTCATCTCCCGCCATGTCGAGCTTCGTCTTAATATATCAGAATTTCCGGAAAATAGATCGTGTTACAGTCACGTTTTGTTCTTCAAGCGAAAGAAGGGAGGGACATCCAACCGGGCAAATCTCGACAAACGGGAGATCTGAATACATTGTAATGCTACTTGAGAGTTTTTGCCCTTTTCCCATCCTGGAATATAACTACTATTGTTATTTTTCTTTTGTAAAATAACTACATTTTAGGAGACATACACGAAACTTGCGAGACATTTCAGATGATCATTGAGGTTTACAGAAACTCAAGACACTTAGACGCATATAACATTTTTTCCTGGCTATTTTCGAACACTTACCGGTAAAGTTTTCTAGAACTTCCTTCAATTAAATTTGCTATAAAACGATGCAAAGAAATGTCTCAACAATGGGAAATCGGAGAATCGAACGCAATTTATTAGTCTTTCTATTAGTGGAGCCCCATACCCATGGAACTATCGTCAACCTCTTTTCGCTTGATTGTCACATGACTGACCGAACGCACGTACGTACGTACGTGCCTTCAGACTGCACGGGTAGGGTAGGGTAGGGGAGACTATCAAAACGAAGGGAGGGGTGTCTCAGGCGAGTCTTGGCAAATGCACATCTCTTATGTTATCATTAATATTACGAACTTGGGAGCTCCGCTTTTAGGCTTGGCTAAATCTATACATTACTCCTTGTAAATATTTTAAAAAGAGTACGCTTGTGCATTCACGAATGTAGTAACTACACTTGTGGGGTAACGATACAACCGCCTCCCGGTTAGGTCAATGGATAGAGCGCTAGAATGTTGTGCAGGAGGTGAGGGTTCAAGCCCTGGCCGGACCAACACTCGAGGTGTTAAAATAATTGAGAAGAATATGATACCTTTCTATAACATCAAGTAATGATTAGATATTCTAGTCTTCACGGATAGGGACGAATAAATGGAGGTCCCGTCTCCTACAGGGTTATGGGGTAGGAGACGTTCATTTCCCACG